AATTTGTCCTGAAAAAATACAAGGTATAATCCACCTGCATGCACAATGTAGTTGTGATGATATGTACAGTTTTGCTAACACATGTCAAAGTTGCAAAATTGCGCTTAGGCTTTAAGATTTGTTTTACCCTTAGACGTGAAGGGGTTAATATATTCATAAACGATATAGGATCTGGGATTAAAAATACTGCTTCAGTCTTTGCAGATGACACCAAGCTGTGCAGTGGAATAACATCTTCACAGGATGTCTTCAATTTACAAGCCGACCTCAATGCACTGTTCAATTGGGCAACTATGTGGCAAATGAGGTTTAATGTTGATAAATGTAAGGTTCTGCACTTGGGGGCTAAGAATATGCATGTATCATACATACTAGGGGGGGGTACAACTGGGGGAATCAATGGTGGAGAAGGATCTGGGGGTTCTGGTAGATCACAAGCTTAATAATGGCATGCAATGCCAAGCTGCGGTTTATAAAGCAAACAAAATCCTCTCTTGTATTAAAAGAGGTATAAACTCCAGAGAGAGATATCATATTCCCCCGGTACAAATAATTAGTAAGACCTCATCTGGAATATGCAGTTCAGTTTTGGGCACCAATTCACAAAAAGAACATTGGGGAACTGGAGAAAGTACAGAGAAGGGCAACCAAACTGATAAGAGGCATGGAGGAGCTCAGCTATGAGGAAAGATTAGAGGAACTGAATGTATTCTCTCTTGAGAAGAGGAGATTAAGGGGGATATGATCTCCATGTATAATACATAAGGTGGGATATGATCACCATGTATAATACATAAGGGGGGGATATGATCTCCATGTATAATACATAAGGGGGATGTGATCTCCCATAAGGGGTATAATCACATGTATAATACATAAGGGGGGGGATCTCCATGTATAATACATGATATGATCTCCATGTATAATACATAAGGGGGGATATGATCTCCATGTATAATACATAAGGGGGATATGATCTCCATGTATAATACATAAGGGGGGATATGATCTCCATGTATGTATAAGGGGGATATATCAACATTATAATACATAAGGGGGGATATGATCACCATGTATAATACATAGGGGGGGATATGATCTCCATGTATAATACATAAGGGGGATATGATCACCATGTATAATATATATAAGGGTGGATATGATCTCCATGTATAATACATAAGGGGGGATATGATCACCATGTATAATACATAAGGGGGGATATGATCTCCATGTATAATACATAAGGTGGGATATGATCTCCATGTATAATAATACATAAGGGGGGATATGATCTCCATGTATAATACATAAGGGGGGGATATGATCTCCATGTATAATACATAAGGGGGGATATGATCTCCATGTATAATACATAAGGGGGGATATGATCTCCATGTATAATACATAAGGGTGGATATGATCTCCATGTATAATACATAAGGGGGGGATATGATCTCCATGTATAATACATAAGGGGGGATATGATCTCCATGTATAATACATAAGGGGGGATATAATCTCCATGTATAAATACATCAGTGGTTCATATAGTGAACTCGGTGTACAGTTATTCACCCTGAGGTCATCACAGAGGAAAAGGGGGCACTCTTTACGTTTGGAGGAAAATAAATTTAATCTCCAAACACGGAAAGGTTTCTTCCCAGTAAGAGCTGTGAAAATGTGGAATAGACTCCCTCAAGAGTTGGTTCTGGCCAGCTCAGTAGATTGCTTCAAAAAAGTCCTGGATTCTTTCCTAGATACACAGAATATAACTGGATACTAACATTCATAGGTAAAGTTGATCCAGGGAATATCTGATTGCCTCTCGGGGGATCAGGAAATAATTTTTTTCCCCTGCAGGAGCAAATTGGATCATGCTTTGCTGGGTTTTTTGCCTTCCTCTGGATCAACTGTGGGTATAGGATTATAACTTATTGTATAACTGGCAGTCTGCAAACAGATACTTATAGATAATGGCAGGCTTTTTATCCTTTGCATATCTTATTTTTTTCATCCCCATTCTTCTCACAGTGGCCATTTTCACTAAGGCTAGATTCACATCTCCGCGTTCCTGAGGGCCACGTTTTGCGCAGAAACGAGAGCCCATTCATTTATACTCATTATATTAATTTATTTTATTTTTAATATGAACACACACTTACACACACAAGTTGAACTGGAAGTACTGGTGTCTTTATTCAGCCTTACCAACTATGTAACTATGTAACGTTTCCTAACAAACACATCAGGCAATGAAGATTGCCACCAAGGTGTGTTGGGAGTAAAGCAAGGGGCCCTCACCCCTGGTGCTGCTATGGATAACACTGAAGCATCAGAGTACCAATGCACAGTCAGGAACATCTCTTCTGAACTGTTGCCCTGTGAGTCATATGTAAGTCTTTGTGGGGGTCGAACCATTCTGTTGATCCACTGTTCCCTGGGTTGACAGGGAACCCACAACCACAACTGACACAACCAAGCCCCAACACTCACTCCATCTCACAAGTGATGCTACGTATGTAATGCCTAGAACAATGCTGCTCTCCTCAAGCAGGGAAACTCAAAACACACTGTAAAGAAACACTGGAACAGTGTAAACTCCTAGTGCATTATCATCAACACTGTTTTTATGTTATAAAATTCCCCAAAATATACTCACAAATATGAGAAGATAAGAGCAAATAAAGTCAAAACTCCAGCGCAGGTGATGTCCAAAACACTGTGGTTGGAAAGATGATGCATTTCAGGGGATAAGCCTCCTTCTTTACAGCTCTGAGGAAGGGGGCTTGTCCCCTGAAATGTGTCAGCTTTCCAACCACAGCCTTTAGGACATCACCTGTGCTGGAGCTGTGACGATATGTTCTTATCTGCTCATATTTGTGAGCAGGGGCGGACTGACCATTCGAAAACTCAGGCACTGCCCGAGGGCCCGAGGTCAGTAGGGGGCCCCATGAGGTGCCTCTGGTACCTTTTTCATAGGCTTTTTTGAGTTTGGGCATGGACACAGGGGCCCCATGATCCCCTATTGCCCGGGGGCCCCATGAGTTGTCAGTCCGCCCCTGTTTGTGAGTATGATTTTGGGAATTTTATTGAATAAAAAGGGTGTTGATGATAACGCACTAGGCGTTTGCACTATTCCTGTGTTTTTTACAGTGTGTTGTGAGTTTCCCTGCTTGAGGAAAGCAGCATCACTCTCGGAATTACATGCGTAGCATCGCTTGTGAGACGGAGTGAGCGCTGGGGCTTGGTTGTGTTCTGGTGATCAAAAAGCAGTGCTTTGGTTTTTTTGTGCTAATAGAGCTTCAAACTTCATCCTATTAAGTATGTCCTGCATTCTTGTCTCAAAATATTGCTGTCCCTGTGTGACATCACTGATCACTGCCCTTTTAGTTCATCTATAGCACGGGTGTCAAACTGGCGGTCCTCCAGCTGTTGCCAAATTACAAGTCCCATGAGGCATTGCAAGATTGACAGTTGAAATATATAAATAAACAGCGCAAAAATAGACCTAAAATCAGATATTAATAAATCACAAAATATAAATGTCCCATATCAATAAGTGCATATCTGTGTCAAAGAAATTTTCTCTGACACAGATATGCACTTATTGATATGGGACATTTATATTTTGTGATTTATTAATATCTGATTTTAGGTCTATTTTTGCGCTGTTTATTTATATAATTCAATGTTTGTGTATTCACATTTTTGCACAGCAGCAATTTAGAAGGGTGATTTACTTAATTTGTGTTTTGGCGCAGGAATATTTTTCTTTTAAGATTGACAGTTACAAGCATGACTCCCAAAGGCAGAAGTATGATGGGACTTGTAGTTTTGCAACAGCTGGAGGGCCGCCAATCTGACACCCCTTCTCTATAGTGTTCAACCAACTATATAGTAGACCTAGATAAAGAAAAAAATGTATGTATTTATTTTTTAGTTCTGAATGTAATTTAGTAATACAAAATACACAAAAAATACACCATATATGAACTCTAACAAAAAAAAAAAACTGTACTATTGCAAAAGATAACATAATTTAAAATCACATTTGGTGATCCACAAGTAAGAAAGAAGTTTGGTGTACCACTGATTACATCAAAACATATAGCTTAACCACATGCAAGTGGCCCATTTTAGCCAGACAAACCTTGTATTTATTAAGATTGCACAATTGTACAATCTATTCTAGGCACAAATATATTGCACTTGGTCTCGTATTTCTCCAAATGTATGCATTACTGTAAAGTAACGATGTTATTAAAACAATAACACCCCATTGTGTTGTGATGCTTGATTTATGTGAACAGTATCAATACCTAAAAGAAAATGTTCCTATGTTTCATATTCTACAGTTGTTTTCACTGCTGTAAAGAGGTAGAGTGTTAGACATGTTTTTTTATTGACAACCATTACAACAGTGCCATCACCAGGTTAGAAAAGGTGCTGCATGACAATAAGGTACATTGTATTTAATCAAAAATGCATTAGGTTTTAAATATTTTAAACAGTGTGTCGTTTATATCATTAGTAAAGATGAGAGAAATAGAAAGTTACAATTTCACAACACTTTGTCACTTTGGATTTTGCATTTTTTTTGTGGGCGATTTTGGACTTTGCATTGTAGTCAATAGTGAATGCAAGGTTAATGATTTGCTTTAAAGATGTAATGGATTTTAAATGGTTCCTACAGGGGTACAGAAGCTCCTTTCAACTACCCTGGGCCTGTTTTTTGTGCTAAAAATGAACTCTTGCTAGCATCATTACTTAAAGTGTTACTAAACCCAGGACCCTGCATTCACTATATGTGGTCCCCCCGGACCCTGCATTCACTATATCTGGTCCCCCCTAGCCCTGCAATCACTATATTTGGTCTCCTCAGACCCTGCATTCACTATATGTGGCCTCCCCGGACCCTGCATTCACTATATCTGGTCTCCCCAGACCCTGCAATCACTATATCTGGTCTCCCAGGACCCTGCATTCACTATATCTGGTCTCCCCGGACCCCGCATTCACTATATCTGGTCTCCCCGGACCCCGCATTCACTATATCTGGTCTCCCCGGACCCCGCACTCACTATATCTGGTCTCCCCGGACCCTGCATTCACTATATCTGGTCTCCACAGACCCCGCATTCACTATATCTGGTCTCCCGGACCCTGCATTCACTATATCCGATCTCTCCCCAGGCCCTGCATTCACTATATCTGGTCTCCCCAGACCCCGCATTCACTATATCTGGTCTCCCCGGACCCTGCATTCACTGTATCTGGTCTCCCCGGACCCTGCACTCACTATATCTGGTCTCCCCGGACCCTGCATTCACTATATCTGGTCTCCTCGGACCCTGCATTCACTATATCTGGTCTCCTCGGACCCTGCATTCACTATATCTGGTCTCCTCGGACCCTGCATTCACTATATCTGGTCTCCTCAGACCCTGCATTCACTATATCTGGTCTCCCGGACCCTGCATTCACTATATCTGGTCTCCTCGGACCCTGCATTCACTATATCTGGTCTCCCACAGTACATAGGACATAGAAATGCAATTATTTTAGTAAATATAAACTGCTAAATACCTTTTCTTATCAGCAGTTAGATCAGTCTTGAGACTTACTGTATATCAGTGTTCAGCTGAGCACATGTTAGGATGAGTTTTCTTTCTGCTCTAGGAGGATGCAGAACTCCTGACCTCCATCTGGACAGTGGTAATTGGCCCTGTTTGAATCACATGCACTCTCCCAAGAAAAAAAAAAACTGTCTAGCAATACACACCAAACTGAGCATGTGCAGAGTGTCTCCACATGATATGTCTTATCAGGAGATAAGAGGGGGTCACTGGAAGAAGGGGAGGATCAGAGAAGACAGGATCAAACAGCCTTTTTTACACAATGCAGAGGATTAACCCCTTAGGTTCCACAATGAGTATACCAAGCATGCTTTACTGCATATACAGACTCATTTTACTGTTGTGGGTTCAGTAATACTTTGTCTTTGTACAGGCAAATACATGTTAAAGCTTATAGGAGGAGTTTACATTCTTCTCTCACTGCCCTATGAGATTGCATAACCCTTGACCCTCCCTCTGGACAGTGCTGATTGGATTTGCACCCTCCCAAGAAAAAGAAAATAACTCTCTTGTAGCACACACCAAACTGAGCATGTGCAGAGTGTCCTCGAGGCTGTGTTCTATCAGGAGATGCAATGGGAAATGTGGAAGAAGGGGAGGATCAGAGAAGTCAGGATCAAACATCCGTTTTACACAATGCAAAGAATTAACCCCTTAAGTTCCACAGTGAGTATAACAAGCATGCTTTATTGCATATACAGACTGATTATACTGTTGTGGGTTTAGTAACACTTTAAGGTTTTTTCACAGAAAGAATAAAAAGACAGTGAAAAAAGTGTTTTTTCCCTTTAAAATAACATTTAAATACACAAACATAACAAATACAAAGAACACTAAATGAAATAAACTATCCTCAATTCACCCTCTAAATAATTTTTTGGGGGTTTTTTTTGTTTGTTTGTTGTTTTTTTTAGCAAACTTTACTTTTCTCGATAAGCAAAACTAAGATTGTCCATTTCAGAAAAATGTCACAAACTGTAAAACCATATTAGATCAGTTTTGCTAAAATCTCTCTGCTCGCCCCCAACAACTGATAACTATTTTCAGGTTAAGTAAATACAATAAATTCAAATACAATGCATTTCCATTCTAACAGTTTTTCTTCCATTAGTATCATTTGGGTCACATTTATGTAGAAAAAGCAAATGTACACACTGTATGTATGTTTTGCGTGTTCCTGAGCATTAGACCTTATAAAGATTGCAAAATAATACCCCAAGCTATCTCCATTTTCTAGATCTCTCTGGGTAATATTTGCAATATATTTAAAGGTCAAATCCACTTTGGTAAAATCACACGATTATCTGTAAAAAATACCAATCTGAATGTGTTCTGCTAATTAATGCGTGTAAAATAAATCTGGAATATAGGCAGGGCTGCTGTTAGAAACCATGGGGCCCCATACAGCCAACCTGAAAGGGCTCCATAAAAATAAACACAGTGTTTATCTATGCTTCAGTTATGATTACGAATGCACACAATGAGTGATTGGTACCAATCACCAGGGCTGCTGTTAGAAACCATGGGGCCTCATACAGCCAACCTGACAGGGTCCCTTAAAAGAAAACACAGTTTACTATGCTTCAGTTATGAATGCACACAATGAGTGATTGGTACCAATCACCAGGGCTGCTGTTAGAAACCATGGGGCCTCATACAGCCAACCTGACAGGGCCCCCTAAAAAAACACAGTTTACTATGCTTCATTTATGAATGAACACAGCAAGTGATTGGTACCAATCACTCATTCTGTTCATTCAGGAAAGGAAGGAGCTGGTAAATGTGATATATTTACCGGACCCTTCCCACAGTCTCTATCCTGAAGGATCCTATTGTGTACCTGCAGCTGCCGGTGAGAAGGAGGGGAGGGAAGCCGACAGCACTGCAGGGGTGGGGGCACGGGCAGCAGAGGGAAAGGTATAGTACACATGGAGGGTGATGGGTGCAGCGGGGGATTACTGGAACCGATCCCCTGTATGGCTCACTCTGCAGCAGCTGAAAGCCAGCAGGAGGGAGAGGAGAAGAAGCCGGCTTTCAGCTGCTGCAGAGAGAGCCATACAGGGGATCGGTTCCTGTAATTGCCCCCCCCCCCCCACTGTGCCAATCACCCTCCCTGCCCACATCCAATTATCCCAGCTGCCTAGGCCCCCCTGCTGTCCTGGGCCCTGTACAGGAGGACTGGTGGTACCCCCTTATCCATGACCCAGAATATAGGTGTCAATGTTTAATAGTAACACTTTCTTTGAAAATACAAAACAATTTTCTATGTGATGAAATCAGAAGAACGTACAGTATATGTACAGCATACTGACAATTATTTTGATTGCCTCTCAGAATTACATGAAAGGAGCTGGAAGTCCCAGTGTTTTGTGGGAAGATGTTTTCGGATTGCCCCAAGCATAAAACATGTATGCTTAAACACACGGCCAGTTGTAGGAATCCTAATATTGTACATGGGATGAATATCACGTCTATAGCTGGCTCTAAATGCTTAGCTGGCGGTTTTCAGGGAACTTGTTGATTATTCAGATTAAAATGATGATTACAAACTGTGCTGACTCAGCTTCAGTCCTGTGACCTTAAAGGATTCCTGGAAAAAATTGTATATTTCCATGCAGTGGGGCTGTGTCCGTACTGCATGGGTTAAATGCTCGGCTTTGTCTAGGGGCTCGGAAAGCAAAGATATACTTGCCTAATCTGCCAATCCTCTAAGCACAAGACCGGTCCCCGACGCGTCTGGCCCTGCAACGCGCTAGCGGTTTTGTGATTGGGCTGGTCCTGATGTCATCATGCCCATAGTTCAGCTCCGGACATGAGGACGGCAGGAACAGTCCACTGCTGGACATGCGGTTTTCCAGAGGATCAGAAGGAATGGGTAAGTACAGCTTTTCCCTGAGCCCTTGGACAAAATGAGCACTTAACCCATGCAGTGTGGGCACAGCCCAATGAGCACCTAACCCATGCAGTGTGGGCACAGCCCAATGAGCACTTAACCCATGCAGTGTGGGCACAGCCCAATGAGCACTTAACCCATGCAGTGTGGGCACAGTCCAATGAGCACCTAACCCATGCAGTGTGGGCACAGCCCAATGAGCACTTAACCCATGCAGTGTGGGCACAGTCCAATGAGCACCTAACCCATGCAGTGTGGGCACAGCCCAATGAGCACTTAACCCATGCAGTGTGGGCACAGCCCAATGAGCACTTAACCCATGCAGTGTGGGCACAGCCCAATGAGCACTTAACCCATGCAGTGTGGGCACAGCCCAATGAGCACTTAACCCATGCAGTGTGGGCACAGTCCAATGAGCACCTAACCCATGCAGTGTGGGCACAGCCCAATGAGCACCTAACCCATGCAGTGTGGGCACAGCCCAATGAGCACTTAACCCATGCAGTGTGGGCACAGCCCAATGAGCACCTAACCCATGCAGTGTGGGCACAGCCCAATGAGCACTTAACCCATGCAGTGTTGGCACAGCCCAATGAGCACTTAACCCATGCAGTGTTGGCACAGCCCCACTGCATGGGAAAATAAAGGTTTTGACCAGAGTTCTGCTTTAGAGTAACCATAGACATAGGATCAGGGGCTAGATTTCTGTACAGGCCATATAGTCTGTGGTCTAGTGAGGCATGGTGCCACAAAGCTGCAGCTGGTTGATAAATCAGTATGCAAACATCTGCCCTCCATTCAATAGGTCCTAATGGTTGAAGTAGCACCTCTAATTTATCTGGACAACCCCATTCAAATATATGGCATGTTACTGCACCATTGTAGGACGCATCAGAAAAGAATGGGAGACTGGGGCTAGAAACATCAGAAGGGAAGAAGCGCTGGAGAATACTGAACTGGCCAGCAATGAGTCCAGATCTCATAGAGAACCTGTGGAGAGATCAGAAAACAGCAGTTGGGAAAAGGAACCCTTCCAATCTGAGAGACCTGGAGCAGTTGGCAAAAGAAGAGTGCTCCAAAATTCCAGTAGAGAGGTGGAAGAAACTCAGTGATGGTTACAGAAAGCAATTCATTTTGGATATTTTCTTCCAAGGGGTGTGCTACCAACAGGGGTGGATTGACCATTTTGGAACTCGAACACTGCCCGAGGGCCCGGGGTCAGTAGGGGGCCCCATGAGATGCCCCTGGTGCCTTTCCTAGGCTTTTTTGGGTGTAGTTTGAGTATGGGCTAGGACACAGGGGCCCCATGATCCCCTATTGCCCGGGGGCCCCATGAGTTGTCAGTCTGCCCCTGGCTACCAAATATTAAATTGAGGGTGCCAGTAATTTTGTCCAGTCCATTTTGAAGTTTTGTGTGGAACGTGTCAGACCTGGTGTTTTGTTTCTCCACTTTCTTGTGTCATACCAATATAAACAAGTCCCCAGTTTGACATGAACGCCCCTCGTACATTAACCTGACTTTTTTTCATAAAACTGAAACCCGCACCCTAACTCATAGGCCTCATGCACACAGGACATTAAAAAAACTCTCCTAGATGCCTCCTTCCTAGCAGCAGCATTTTTGCAGAAAAAAAGCCAGAGGCTTGTAAAAGTGTCTAGCACTTTTACAAGCGTTAATGCGCGCTTACAGGCATTAAGCGCTTAATTCATTTCATTGGCAAGAGTACACTGTAGCTGATAAACTGACGTTTAGGAGCTTTCCTGCGTTTTTTTCAGCAGCCCCTGAACTCTCCCTAACAGGGGCGGACTGACAACTCATGGGGCCCCCAGGCAATAGGGGATCATGGGGCCGCTGTGTCCTTGCCCAAGCTCAAAAAAGCCTATGAAAAAGGTACCAGGGGCATCTCATGGGGCCCCCTACTGACCCTGGGCCCTTGAGCAGTGCCTGAGTTTCCAAATGGTCAATCCGCCCCTGCTCCCTAACGTATTCCTATGTGCCCATGTACACATCGTCATTTACA